GTTGAATCACGCAAGTTTTAAAAGGTATGTCATAACCTAAGTAAATAACATGATTTTCAACAAAAAAATAATAATAATAACAACGCCAAAAAAAATACTCCCTTTAATCTCTTTTAGTTGTCCTAGTCCTTCAATTTTATGTAAATTAATTTGATGATTTTATATAATAAATATATGATAATTGAATTTTTTTTATTTAAGTGAAAATACATAATAAAAACTATTATAAAAAATTTAATTGTTATCTATTTACTATATAAAATTATTTGATCAAATTCTATATAAAAATCAAATTGGAACAACTAAATCTACTTTATGGTTGAGGTGATCATTTTTAGGTACAAGTCGGGTATGAGTTATATTTGGTATTTAACTTAAAAATTTTTAAATACAACGTTTTAGACTTGATTCCATCCAAATACTCAAAAACTTATATTTAATACGTAACCCAACAGGTACTAGGTAACTTGCAAGCATATAACTTAATTAAGTGCTTGACTTAAGAAAAAATCTACTATGAGATACTATTGTTATATGTATTATATGTTTGGTTTAGGGTTTATTATTTATACAAGTTGTTATTATTGTGTGTATAATTTATTTGACTTGTAGGACTTAATTTTTATTTTTATTTTTTAAAATTGTTGTTATTATATAAATATTAAGAATAATAAGTATATGTAAAATTTCAATTATATAAGTCTACCTAATAAGTAAGTTAAATAAGTCAGTTAAATAGATCAGATAAATAATTTTAAACTCCTATATTTATCACTTAACAAATATGTTATTTTTATACTTATTATTTACTCTTTTTTGTTTTTACAATTCACATATGATATTTACTCAAATGAATAAAATACTTGCAAGTTTTCCTTGTACCCATACTTCACTATTGCTCTATAGATAGTTTCTCTATTTAACTAGAAGCCCACTAATTTCACCAAAAAAAAAAAAACTAGAAGCCCACTAAATTTCGACCGGCCCAAGAGGCCTAGTCCTGGTTCTTTGGGGGCTTTTCGGCCCTAAATCCGTGATGTGGTGAAACACTGAAACCCTGTTCCTGATCGATACTTCCATTTCATTAGTGCCGAGCATTGAGAGAAGCGGGAGAAGGCAAGGAACACCTAGAGATGGAGAAGGCAGCGTCTGGGTTGTCAAGTATTTTTCACTCTCAATGATAAAGCTTAGAACTTTGACACATTGCAATGCCTTACCCTAAAAACCCACCAAATTCCCTCCTTGAAACTTTCTTCTTGGTGAGTTCTGAGCTCTCTCTAGTTGTTCCATTGTTTTTTCATGTATATTATATAGTCTCAGCTACCATATTTTTCATTTTTCTATGACTGGTCTTTCTGGCTTGTGCTGGGCTGAGCCGCCCCTAACAATGGATCTTTCTAAAATTTAAAATTTCCCCACAAATGGATGGCTCTCAACATTCAAGTTCCAAGAATGACTCTAGAGCTCCAAATGATTCAGAACGAAATATTCCTTGTCCAAGTCCAGCCAAAGGAGATGACACTAAGTAGCAAACATATTCCAAGGCATGGGTTGAAGGGAACTATTCCAAGAGACAAAAAATTGATGATAAATCCGTAGCTATGCGCGACTATTGTGGTATAAATTTTACAGGAGAAACTAAGAATGACGGAGAGCACTTTCATGCCAGTTTAGTCAAGTACCAATATGAAGATGAGGCGGATGATACAAAAGAAGCATCTTTGACACCTCCAGCAGATTCTGTTGAAGAAGATGCACCTGAGGCTTTTGCTTTAAAGCCATCATCTTTAAGAATGAAGCTAGTAGAGATGATCATTCTGGATGGATATCCTTTATCAATTGTTGAGCATTTTGGTTTTCGAAAGTTGGTTAATTCTCTTAACCCAAATGTTTGTAGTGGTCTCTTGAAAAGAAATCAAGGAGGATATCTTGCATATTTATCGTCATGAAAAGTGTAATAGGATGAAATCATTGGAATATAATCAGAGTAGAGTTGCTATTTCAATCAGCATGTGGACTTGCCCCCATCTAGGGAGAGGCTTTATGGCTATTATAGCACATTATGTAGACGAGTCTTGGATTCTAAAAAGTTAGTTCTTGAGGTAGTATTTATTATGGATTGAAGAAATTTGATTAAGAAGTTATTATCTTGATAGTTGATTTATTTTGATAAAATCACTTTAAATTGTAATTTGTTTTATTTCACTTTCCTTAACAATGCTAATCATAAATTGTTTTCAATATTTTCCGCAGTTTTGTTTGTGTTATAACTCAAATTTTTAATAGAATTTTATTTTTATGTTTAACTAATATGTTTGCCTTTACTTTCCTTTTTAGGTTTATGAGCATAAAGGGATTTTGCGAAGAGGATTGGAAAAAGTAGATGAAGGAAATTAAGAGGAGGGACTCAATTGAAGAGATGGAAAGTTGAAGGGGTAAAACAAATTGAAGTAAAAAACCAAATCCACCATTACCCAAAAAACCCACAAAAACTCAAACCCAAAAACCCAAACCCACGATTACCAAAACCCAAAACCCAAATACCAAAACCCACAATTACCCAAACCCAAAAACCCATAACATAACCCATTTAGCCCAAACCCAAAAACCTAAACTTCAAACTCAAAACCCTAACCCCAGTTAACCAAAAAATAAATAAATAAATAAGAAAAGAAAAGAAAAAAAGAGTCTTCCTCTGCGCTACGCCCCTTTTGCCCTTGCATGCGACCCAGCCTGCACCCCCTTCTTGCTACAAACTAGCCCTGCACTCCTACGCCCCCTGTACACCTCCTGCACCCCCTCTTCTACAGCCGACTCTGCCCCCTCTTCTGCAACCCTCTGTGCCCTTGCAGCAAAAACCCGATCCTGCGCCCCCTTGCTTCTGCTCACCCTTGCTTGCTACGAACCAGCCCTGCACTTCTACCTCCCCTTGCACTCTACACCCCTTGCACTGCTACTGCACCCCCTACCTTCGGCACCGCCAATCCTGCACCTCAACACTCCTACTTGCTACGGCCTTGTCCTTGCCTCACTTGCAGAAGAACAACGCATACCAAACAAATCGGCATCCTCTTCGTCCTTTGCTTTTGCTGCAGAGATCAATGCTTGTCGGAGGAAGTTTTTATTTTATTTTATTTTATTATTTGGGTATATGTATAGAGAGTAAAACCAGATTAAGGGGGGGTCTTTTGTCTGAGTTAGGTATTGAGAACGGTGACAAAAAGGAGGGAGTTCTGCTTGAGGGAAGTAGCGGTTTGGGAGGAGATCGCCAAGCTTACTGACTGTTGTAGAACTGGTTTCTAGGTCTATCTTTGTAGGTAATCTTCGAAACACAGAGTCCTTTTAGGGAAATGGTGAAGGGAATGGTGGGAGCTTGATCCCGTGGGTAGGATTCCTCCCATCAAACCCAGATTTATTCTTCCTTAAAGCATTTGCCATGTTTGTTTGTTTTCTTTTCTGTTGATGTTTTTTCCTTTTAGATATGATGTTAAACCCATGTATGTTGCTGAAAAATTAATAAAATTGTCAAAAACAAAAAAGTTCAGATTGGGCACTGGATGAATGTATGTCTTTCTTGGAAATGATATGAACCCTAATTGAAGTTTTGTTCTATTTGGTATTTGATCTGTTTTGCTTGTTTTGGGTTGATGGGTCGTGTTTTGTGCGTCAGGTTGACCTGACCCAATCCAATAAAAAAAAAAAAAAAAAAAAAAAAAGTTAAAAAGTAGGAAAAAGTGACATCAGCTTTAAGATGAAAATTATCTTAAAATTACGTCGTTCAATAAGTTTTTATTAAAAAAGATTAAATTACCATATTTTTAAAGGATGCATTAACGTGATTTTTGTCTTTTTTTCTGCTAATTTTTTGAAGGTAAGACAGACAAGCACTAACATATATATATATTTTTATCAATTAATTAGGTGAGTTACTTTAATTTATGATTAATGAAGTTAATTAATCTTAATCAAAATAAATTAATTATATTTATTGAATTTAATTTGAGATAATTAGATTTATTTGATTATCTCAATTAATGATTAGTAAATGTGATTAATTAATTTAATTAATGTTAAATTAATTATTCAATTAAACTAATTATCTTGATTAATTAATTTCAATTCTCAATTTTCTTTAACTTCAATCAAAGTGAGAGTTATATTTTATTCTATCTCAATTTCACCAAAAGTTTTATGATTAAGCAATTCAATCCCAAGGTTTCAAACGTTTTTAAATCAGTCCTTCATATTTTGAATTTAATCAAATTAGTCCCTTTAATTTTTACCTATGTTCATGGTGCATGTATGTCTTTGATTTTGTCATTTTAGTCCAAAAGTTTAAAAAATGTTGCAATTTCGTCCATCCTTTTTTTCTTTAGTTCGCTTATTAAGACCTAAATATACAAATAATGAATAAGTTGAATCAAAATCCCAATTTTAAAGTATACAACCATATTTAAGCAGAGGATTGTGAGGTGTACATATGCCTTTCATCACTTTTAACTGAACCTTGAACCCCAATCTTTATGCAGACCTGTTTTAGGTGACTTATCCCACCTTATAATTTGGTCGAGTGGTGACTCCTTTTCTTATATGTTTCACACTTAATGTAACAATGTTAATTTAATTTTAAGTGTGGTCGTCAATAGATTGGCGACTCCACTAGGGACTGAATCCAATATCTCTAGTTTTCATATTCTGGGTTCACGAAGGTTGAGCTAATACTTTAACTTTGGGGAATTTTCAACTTTTGATTTTTCTTTGTTTGTTAAGTCTTTGTGGGTCTTGGTCATTTATTGCATGTGCTTGTTACATGTTGTTTGTTACTTGTTTGTTTGTTTTGGTGGTTGCTTTTATTGTTTTTGCCTTTGAGTGATTATCTTCTTACATTTTAACATGCATCATCCCTTGCTCACATGTTCATGCATCAGATCATCTCACATGCTCATCCACCATTGATGTTACATGCTTATTCATCATGCATCATACCTATATGCCTACTTGCTTGTTTGTGAACATGCTAACCTTTTGCATTTGGCATGGGTGTATCAAGTGAGTCCCTTCCTATTGTGTAAGTAGGTTTGTTTGTGGGTGATATATTTGTTGAGTGCTTCCCATGTTTTATTTGCTTGCTATGGGATATATGTTGCTATTTTTGTGGTTGCCATTGTGCAAGTTATCGGAGTGTCATGCCCTTTGCACACACTCACTCTCATTTTGCATTAGGTCCGTGTCAGAGATGAACCCGACCTCTAGTCTGGAATCCTTACGAATCTGGCTTGAAAGAGCAATTCTTCCCACTTTGAGGAGTAAGATCGGTTCCCATTAGGTTGTTTCCATTGGTTAATATGACACTTGATGATGTAATATCATCCTGTGTATTAACTTTTGGAAATAACTCCTGTTGATTCCGAAAGAATAAATGATTGAGAAAGCCTAATGCCCTTTAGGAAAACATGTATTGACCTTAGAGAGATACCAACCATAGAACATGTTTCCTTTAGCATCCCACCCGTGAGGCTAGAGATCCTATGTTTAAGACACAAAAGGGGCATTTTACTTCACTAACCTTTGTTTGTGCATATGGTAGCTTATTTTTTGCACACTTAATAAGGTATGGCATGTGAGGGTATGATTTATGTTTAACTCTTTTAAGCCTTTTGTTTAGGTAAGATTATGCATTAAACATGGATTTTACAGAGGATACAACTAGACAAGGAAAGAGAGGATGTCACATCTCTTTCTACTACTAAGAAAGCTAGAGTGTCAATCTTTTCAGTCAATACCTCCAAACCCAACTTGAAGTTGTTGAAAGAGGCTTATGGCCTATTGTCCTCTAGGGAGAAGCATGACATTGAGGTCTGATTTGAGTGCATTGGGGATCTATTGTCAGTGGTGCCGAATTGGGATTTGTTCAAAGCCACTTGAAATTCTACGTGCCTAAAGGCCAAGCTTTTGTATTCCCACATTTTGAGTTGGTGCCTACCATCGATGAGTATAATCACTTTCTATGGTGCAGTCCTGCGGTGGATTCTTGTGCCTTTACTCCTTAAATACAACTTGATCAACCTTGAGGAGGATTTGTTACTTGGGAGCTTTTGTACAAACATCAGAAATATATATTTGTCAAGGAAAGCTTACTTAAATGAATACAATCTTTCTTCTTTGTCAAAAGTGTATTCGATGAAGTAAAATCCATTATTATGATTAAAATTTTCATTTTTCAAGTCTTATATCACATATGCCTATTCAGTTGATTATACATGATCACTCATTATCTTATTAATATCTTTATTTGGTCATTTTGTGTTTAGTTCTCAAGCCCTTTTTGTTTGGACCATCTGTGAACTTTGAAGGGAAATATGAATTCCCACACATCCAAGACCCAAACTCTTGTCACACAAGACTTTATTGGAGTTTTCTAACTGTACTCAAAGGCTTAATGAAGAAATCATCTCTTATCTGCACCAGTTGACTAAGGACAATGAACACCTTCACAAAGTCAATGAGTAGTTGGAATGGCAACTACAAGACATGACCATCAATTGTAATTACCATGGAGGATGTGCACTGTCAATTCCAAGCCTATAAGCAAAATAACCAAAAGAACCAAACTCTTTTTGAAGAGAACACTAGCCTGCGTGAAGTTGTCATCGACATAACTGCTTTGGTGACTCAATTCGAGGGGAAGATGGCCGAGGTTCATCACCACATTGCTCAAAGGACCCATCCAATTGAGAGGAGATTCTTCCAACCAATCTTCAACTTCATCATTGACATATCTAACGTGCTTAAAAACCTGTATTAGGATTTATGTTTTGTAATGAGCCTGTAAGCACTTTGAATGCAACTTTGTAATGTTTGCCCACTTTGTTTAAAGTGCATTCCTTAGTTAGTTTGTCTTAGCTTTAAAAGAATGAAAACTTGTAAGCACTTTGAATGCAACTTTGTAATGCTGGCTAACTTTGTTTAAAGTGCATTCATTTAGTTAAGGATAAATCATGCTTTAGCATAGCTTTTTGTAAAACAGGAGAATATCTTCACACAAGATGGAATACTGATGTGAGAATCCATATGGAACTTCGAAGGGGAAACTCATGGTCCAATCAAATGGGGCTAAAGTCATTTCAATTTTCTAATTTTTGCCTTTTGTTTTTATTTTTGTTCTCAGGTAAAAGTTCTTATAACCATAGCTCCAAGGCAAAAGATCTTCAAAAGGTGTTGTTCTTCTTATTTGCTGAGATCTAGACTAATCAAAATGTCTGAGGAAGATACCACTACTAATCCAGAGAAATCAGCCATGGATGAGAGGGTTGATAAGTTGGAAGCTACAATGCACTCTATGGCTACTACTTTTCAGACTATTAGTCTTACTTTGTCCACTTTCACTATTGGTTCGGTTCCTTCATTTGCTTCCTTAGTGCCCACAACACCAGCTCCACCCATCCCTATTCTAACATTTACCATTACACCAGCTAATCATGCTAAGAATCCAATGGTCACACAATTGCAATTTCCACCTATTTATGAGAATCAGCCTTTAATGGGGGAGTCATCTTCACATGTGCCACAAATACCATCTCTATCAGTTGGAACTTTACACCCACCACTTGAGGTGAATGACCCTACCTTGCCCACAACCACACCTTTTGCCCTTAACATACCACTTTTGATGGGACAAGTACTATTCAACCTACTCCTTCGATTGAGAGACTAAGGCCTACTTTAAACGATGGGAAGTCAAAAGAGGTCCATCACAAGTCGTAGCAATTGGAAGAGGCTTTGAAAGCTATGTAAGGGGCACAAGCTTATGGTTCTATTAATTTGGATGATCTTTGCTACTATCTAGGAATTCAGACAAATTTCAAGTTCAAGCAACCAAATTTTGACAAGTATGACAGTTCAGGTTGTCCTTATGCTCAGTTGTAGATGTAGGCTAGGAAGATGGCATCTTATGCCAATTATGAGAGGATGCTCATTCATTATTTTCAAGACAGTCTCTCAGGCCTAGCATATGTTTAATTTTCAACACTTAACAAGAAGAAGATCCGTACTTTCAATGATGTGTCTCAGGCTTTCATGAGGCAGTATGAGTATAATGTGAGTCTGGCCTCTACAAGGATAGCTTGTAGAGAATTATTGAGAAGAATAATGGGACCTTCAAGGAATTTGCTCCAAGATGGAGATTCAAAGTAGCCAAAGTCATTCCACCCCTTACTGACAACGAAATCTGCTTTCTCTTTATCTAGTCAACTACTGGGACCTTCCGTGCATGGTTAGCTCCTTGTGTGGGATATACTTTTGCTCAGTTAGTGACAGTGGGTGAACAAATTGAAGATGGAATGAAGAAAAGCATTATCATGGACTTTCAAACCATTTAGAGGCAATTAGAGCAAGTCAAGACCAGTAACGTCGGATCTACTTCAAAGAAGTTTGCACCCAAAGGGAAGAAAGAAGATGAGGAAGCTTTAAGTCATATTTTCACCAGCCATGCCAAACCAATTTATAATGTGGCAAATGTTCCTTGTAATCGGCAGCCCCAATTGCAATACACTCCAACCTTTAGACTACCACCTATCCTCAAAAGAGGCCAAACTTTAATACTCAAGCTCGAGCTAGACAACAATTTCCACTTACAAATAGGCCGAGACAATTCACTAGACTTCCAATCCCTTATAGTGAAGCATTGAAACAATTAGTTGAAGTGGGTTTAATGAAGACAGTGCAAGCAAACCCTGTGCAACCACCTTATCCGTATAAGTATGACTCTCAGGCTCAATGTGCATACCATAATGTAATGGCTCATGGTATCGAATATTGTACAACTTTGAAACATAAAGTTCAAGATCTCATCGATGAGGGAAAACTCCAACTTGATGAAACTAAGAGTGCTCCAAACATCACTCAGAATCATTTACCTCCACATGGTGCACCCACCATGAATACCATTGCCTTTGATGAAGCTAATAGACCCGTATTGAAGGATATCGGTTCTTGGTCTCTTGATGAATTGTTTGCCATTTTGATAGAATATGATATAATTCAGCCGATTGCACAAATAAGCTCGAATGTTTTGCCAATGATGATTGATGATGCTGTGATGTGTCCTTATTACTCTAATATGAAGGGGCATGCTTTGCAAGCTTGTGGAGATTTTCAAAGAAAGATCAAAGAGCTGCAAGGAATGGGACTTTTAAGGTTTACATCTACCCAAGAGTTAGAGAAATTCATGGCACCAGTGACTGAAGCATACTTTACTAAGGAGAGGCCTTACATTCTATAAGATATTACAAAGGCACAAGTCATCAGTCAGAATTCACAACAGCCTTATGTCTTGAAGAACTCTTCTAGCGAGTCATTCATGGGAAAGACATCATCTGCGCCCAATAGCCAATTTCCTTACTCACTTAAGGTTATGCCTCAACGCTCTATCATCTTGAATTCTACAACTAATGATGTGTCTAATATGACCCGTAGTGGTTGGTGCTATGTGAATCCCGAAGTGGAAGAATTGAGAAGGGCTGCCTTGAAATCAAAAGATATCAAAATTGAGGAGATGCTAAAAGATTCACCCAAGAAGCTAGAATTTCTAAACATTTTGAGGAAAAGTGAGTATAGCATCATTGAACAGCTCAACAAAACCCCAACAAAAATTTCTGTTTTAGAATTGATGCTGTCATCTAAGGCTCATCTTGACGCATTGCTCAAGGTCTTGAAAGAGGCCCATATGCCTAAGAACATTAATACTCAGAAGTTTGGGATTGTGGTTAGAGCAATCTTAGCTCCAAATTATATTAATTTCACTGATGATGAGATTCTTGACGACGGAAATGGACATACTAAAGCTCTCCATATTTCAATCCAATGTAACATGATGAATGTGCCTCGTGTTGATCGACAATGGGTTGACTTTGAATGTGATTCCTATGATTGTTTTGAAGCAGTTGAAAGTGGATGAATCTCACATTAATCAATGCAATACAATGGTTCATGCTTTTGACGGAACAAAGAGGAATGTGGTTGGAAAGATTGAGCTTCCAATGGAAATTGGTCCTGTGACTTTTGATGTGGATTTCTTTGTTATAGACATTTCTCTTGCTTTTAATATGCTTCTTGGAAGGCCTCGGATACATGTTGCTGGGGTAGTACCATCTACGTTGCATCAAAAGGTCAAGTACATTGTCAATGGTGTTGTCACGGTGAATGGTGAAGAAGAGCATGTCATCCAAAAGGCTACAATCATTTCTTACTTGGGAGTTGATCTTGGAACTTATGAATCCTTTGATCACTCAATGAAGTTTGCTGCTGCTTCTTATATACATCCAAAGTTCAGAGGGAAATGGGCTGAAATGGCTAAACCTGCAAAGGTTGCTACTAAGGTCATGCTTTCATATCATTACCAGTTGGGAGAGGGTTTGGGATTGAATAGACAAGGAATTCTTAAGCCTATTGAGGTAATTTCAACTTGAGGCACTTTTGGCTTGGGATACAAGTCGAAGAAGGAAGATTGACAAAGAATGCGTGCTATTAAAGCAAAGAGGTGCCTTGCTAGACTTCAAGGGAGAGATCTAAGGGATGAACCAATGTGAGTGCCACACATCAGAGTCACATTTCCACAACCTGTTGAGATTTTGTGCCCTTCTCTTGATGGATATGTTGTAAAGCATATGGATGTTTTGTATGTAGATTTAGAGGGTATTGTTTTTATTGATAGATTACTTGAAATTGGGGAATGTTCAAAACAAGCAAAGTTTGAGGAACTAGTTATGGAAGATATCACTAATGAAGTATGGTCTGATGATGAGGAAGACAGTTTTGGTTTCAAGAACCTCTTTGGGCCAGCCAACATGACAGATCCTAAGGAAAGGTGGGGAAGGGTTCTCGCTGAAAGGACATTTATGGAAAAGCACTCCAAGTTCCATCCCATTCATCATGCAAAAGCTTCAATGGGATCATATGAGTCTATGCCTCTTGAAACAGTGAAAGAAGAACCACAATGTGACTCGTGAGGAAATTTGACTATAAATGCTCTAAATGAGGAAGAACTTGAATTCGATAAAGGAATTTCTCTGGTTAATGGAAGCTCTCAAGCTAATTGGATAGCGGAACTTTTCTCTACAGCTTTCATCTCTGAATAAAAAGAGTCAGCCTCTAATAGTTTTGCTTGTGACTAGAGGAACATAGGGATTCAACAAGCACTTTTATATTTTCTGAAATTTATTTTATCATGCTTCTAGTATTCCCATGCTTTCCTTTTCAATGAAACATGTTGCAATCCTACCTATCATTGTAAAAATCATCATGATGCAACTTTACTTGAACTTTCATTGTACAAGCCGTTCTTTAATGACATTTTATGAAGTTATTCAGTTACATACTCTTATCTTTGCTTTATTATCATTTAGCCATTTATTTACTTCCATCCCAAATTTTCAAGCCTACTAATGATGAATTTTTAAACAATGACGCCATATCAAACTTTATATATCGATTGATGATCAGACCTATAAAGAAAGGACGATGAAAATCTTGATCTTTCTCATGAACTAACTCAATTGCTAAGAGAGGAGAAACCAAAGCTGCAGCCAAACCAAGAGACAGAAAGCATTAATTTGGGTATTGAAGATGATAGATTGGAGATAAAAATCAATGCTCAACTATCCTCAAAGAAGAGAAAAGAGTTGATTGAGCTTTTCTTTGAATTTCAAGATGTTTTTGCTTAGTCCTACAAAGACATTCCAGGACTTGATCCGGATATTGCTGTTCATGCCATTTCACTCTATTCAAGGGCCAAGCCAATCAAGCAAGAGCTAAGGAGGATGAAGCCAGAGGTTCTATTGAAAGTCAAAGAGGAAGTGCAAAAGCTGCTAGATGTCAATTTCATTGAAGTAGCTACGTATCTGAAATGGGTAGCCAATCTTGCTCCTGTAATGAAAAAGGATGGCCGAGTTAGAGTCTATGTTGATTATAGAGATTTGAACAAAGCAAGCCCTAAGAATGATTTTCCATTGCCTCATATTCAAATCCTGCTAGTTAATGCTGCCAAAAATACTCAGTCTCTTTTGTTGATGGCTACTTTGGGTACAATCAAATAAAAATGAAGGACGAGGATAAGCTATAGACTACATTCATCACTCCATGGGGTACCTTTTGCTACAAAGTTGTAACGCCTCAAAACCCGATTTCGAGGCGCGATAGATGTCGTGCACTCGTGAGAAGGTCCCACAAATGCACAAGGCTCGGAACTTATCACACCACGATCTGATACCATTAAAATCTGAAAATCAAATCTTTAAAAATTCTCTAATCTCATAAAATCTCCAAATACACTCTAGCTTACAAGATCATGATTTATTTCTAAAATCTATATCAATCGCGAAATGGCTAGCTTTCTAACTCGTCACTTCCCGTGGTTTCCCCGTCCTCAGTTTCACTTCCTGAAATGGTGGACAAGGAAAAACTATGAGATAAACTCAGTAAGTAAATATGAAGTGCCCCTTATTAAACTTATAGCATGCCAACAAGTGCAATCACGAAAAACGGATACAATACGGGAACGAAATAGACGTCTCCTCTATAGGTCACGGCCAGCGTCTAACACCCACTGGCAGGCGCACTGTTTGCTGGTGTATAATCCCCACAAGCAAGGTCACTGTTTGCTGGTGTATAACCCCCACTAGCAGGGTCACTCAACGAACCGGTTCTATCAATAACATGTCGACATGTGCTAGCGTTTAACCCCCACTAGCAGGATCATCAATAACATATCGACATGAGCCGACATGTGCTAGCGTTTAACCCCCACTAGCAGGATCATCAATAACATATCGACATGTGCCGACATGTGCTAGCGTTTAACCCCCACTAGCAGGATCATCAATAACATATCGACATGTGCCGACATGTGCTAGCGTTTAACTCCCACTAGCAGGATTACAGAATAACATGACCATATCGGAGACAAAACAGGCAGAAGTTAATAGAAAAATCACAATTCACAATCACTTTCAAATCATCAGGACAATCAATTAAACTTCAAATAGTCATGCTCAATTTAATGAAAAGCATAAAACTTTCACCTTAGATCAGTCATGCTCGAGTTAAACGGGTTTAGTCACGCCACCACTTCAAAAACAAATCAAACATGCTTTTAAAAATCAAAGGGCGTTACCATAATTTACTTACCTCAAATCGCATAAAACCGAACACTCGATCTCAGTGCTAAACTGACAGAACGATCAGAAACATAATCAAATATCCTGAAATTAATACCATATTATCACAAATTTAAACTGAAAACTTCATTAGGATCACCCCTAATCCCAATGCTATTTCCTATCAATCTCCACATGATCAAATATCTTCAAATTTGTTCTTATATTACAAGCTAATCATTTAAATCCCCATTAATTGTTGGCCATCTGTGCGTGAACAGTGTTCTGTGAACAGTGCCGTGAACAGTAACCACGACGTGAACAGTAACTCAAACTTCCAAAATTGGCCAAAACACTAGCTAATCACGGGGTTTTTCTCTCCAAAAATCACACAACAGTCAATTAACACTCAATCACACAAATTCCACTTGAATCAATGCTTAAACTTCATCCTAAAGCTACCGAAAGTATCCCCAAATTTTCTATCAAATTCGGACAACACAGCCAGCAACCTATATGGATAATTTCAAGCTTAAACGACTGTCACATACCCTAATTTTCCAGCTAAAACCGGAGCTGCAGATTGGGGGAAGGCCGACGGCATGGAAGAAGAAAGCTCACAAGCTCACGGGAAATCTATCAAAATTATGGAGAAACAACATATTTAACATGAACCCAAGCTAATT